TATCATACGTCATTATAAATTGTATACCAATATACTTAAATTAATTTTGGTTTTATATATTTCATGCTCACAACAACAAATTTTTCGTCACTATCCGTTATGTCAATTATTAACTATTATTAAATGATTATATTATTATTACTTTTATCATTAATATTTTATTTATTATTATTATTATTATTATTATTATTAATATTTTTATTTAATCATTTTTATTTTATTTTAATTTAATTACTAAACAGGAATGCTCTTGTAATGTGACTTTCTTGTTTAATATTTAAAATAATGTTATTTAAAAAGGAAAATTATATATTATATTCAAAGCTACGACATTTTATGTTTGCTAAATTTTTCTGTCCTAATATTCATACAGCTTCAGCTTTTAGCTTCTGGTGTTTAAAAATTGTATAGACCATTTAGAGTTTATAGTTGGTTAAAGTMAATATCTTATCACATCAAATAATATTTACTAAAGCTTCTACCCTTTTGTATTGTAGCTTACCAATTGTCATAATTTTGGTTGRCTGGGAGAGACCTTATTACAATGCATTGGTCTTGCAAACTAAGTGATATACATCTATAAAAATGTAATGTTCGTCTATACCTATAACCCTAAATAATAATATTAATATAGGTATTTATTGAATTAATTTATAGACAAACATGCATTTATTCATACAAAAATAATTAACTATAACTGTGGTGGTGTATATTGAATACAAACATATTTGGTCTTCTTTTCTATCAACTTCTTTTAAATTTTATTAAATTTAAATTGGTTGTATATAGTTTTTATAATATCATAATAAATTTATTAACATTTTTTCACATTATTTGATGAAAAAATTTGTATTAAAGTATTGTTTTTTATTCCTCAGTGGAGTGTAGAGGTATGATGTTCTATTGTTTTTAATCTAACATAATGACAACTCATTGAATTTTAAAAACCATTTTGAGCCTAATTCATATTATAATTTTATGATAAATAATAAAAATATTGGAGGAAAACATGGCAACATTTTGTTTTGTTTAATTGCTGTATGTATGTATCGATGCTTAAGCTGGGCTTRCTAATACTAATTTACTCGTGTACCTAAAATCTATCATTGAATACTKTGTGTTGTTTTTATTTAATTATATTTATTATATATCATTAAATCAATGTAAAATATACAATATACAGAAATACATATGTTTTACATTACTACGCTTACACAAAGAGRAGTTAAATGTT